ACTGTGGAGCCCTCCAGCCCTCCGAGCCCTCCGAGCCCTCCGAGCCCTCCGAGCCCTCCGAGCCCCCCGAGCCCGGCTCGGCGGCTCGCCCCTCCGAGCCCTCCGGGCACTCCATCCCTTGTGAGCCCTCCAGAGCCCTCCCGAGCCCACCAGCGCCACCCTCGTGCCTCTCTGCCCTCCGAGCCCTCCGACCCCTCCGAGCTCTCCACCTCTCCCAAGCCCTCATGAGCCCTCCTACGCCTCGCTTTTGGCCAGCCCTCCCAGCCCCCACCCCTCCTGGGCCCTGCCGCCTGACACCTCTATCGGTGGAGGGCTTTAGGTCACGGTCCGCACTCCCGCCCTCCCGACCCCTCCACACCCCTACAGCGGCACCCCTACCCCTCCCGCCGTTTTAGGGCCTGCCCACCCGCACTCATGACAAGACTTGTCTACCGGCTGGAGCCGAGCAGGAGGGCCCGGCGCACAACCCCCTGGTCAACTCTCACCCTCCACTGTCCACAGCGCACAGGGACAGCTCCACACCTTTACGAGAGGTGAGTCTGAGAACGTGTGATCGACCATCGAGTGTCGTGAGGTCGAGTCTGTCGGCAATACCAAACAAATCCCTTCACGCCCGTGCAAGGCGCGCAGACTCGTCCAGACAGATTGACAGGTGAGAGCGAATCTCGGGGCGCGGTTTGGGGTCCGGTCTAGGGGAGTTGCACGCTATCACGCAATATCGCAAACAGAAAACACAACCTCTCTCTGAGCCAATGCGAGGAGATTGCCAGCATCACGGTGGCATTGTCGGCCTTGATAAGGCGGCGAACCGCACAACCGCCCGTTTGTCCGCGGGCCGCGACTAGATCCGAACGGACTTCCCAGCCCCCGCGGCCGCGACCGCCATCACGCCGTCGGCGGCCAGGTCGGTCGAGGTCGGGATGGTCACGCGCGCGGGCGCGAAGCCGGGCGAGCTCGCCTCCACAACGATGGGCGTGGCCGTGGTGTCTGCTGCTGCGCGGGCCGCCGCCGCCAGCGGGCCACGCACGTCGATCTTGGCGAGGAGGGCGCGCTCGGCGGCGGTTCGGCCGGCGGCGGAGGTGACGCGCACGACCGCGCGCACGAGGCCGTGGTAGGCGGGGTAGGTCGGGCTGTCGTTGGGCAGGTGGGAGTGCACGTCGCCGTTGTGCGTGCCTAAGGCAGGGCAAGGTAGGGTGAGGGAATTGGGTGATGTGTGTGTGTGTGTGTGTGTGTGTGTGCGTGCGTGCGTGCGTGCGTGCGTGCGTGCGTGCGTGCGTGCGTGCGTGCGTGCGTGCCCTGGATGCGGCCGGGGCCGGAGACGACGCGGAAGGTGACGTTGCTGCTTGCGAGGTGCGCCACCCGGCCGGCGCCATCGACGATGGATGCGCGTAGCAGCGCCTGAGGGAGGGGGCGCAGCGGCTTTGGACGATGGACGGCTGTGTCGATGTGCTGTATGCGTCGGCGGACGCATCTGCAGCGAGGGCACGCCCTCACCGCGACCTGGCCGCCGAAGAAGTGTCTAGGCAGTGTCTAGTCAG